GAGTTACAGTGTAGCTCACCAATATTCAATGTCGTTTCTCTAAATTCGTGAAATCCTCGACCATCAGGTCTGATGTTTTCTTTCTGCTCAGAAAATTTGAAAAAAACATGTATTGATGTAAGTAAGTTTATTACTGAACTCTARGTTTTGACATCAAAGTTTGACAAATTCACGTGGAGTAAAAACTAGGAAAACGGTGATTTTTAACACTAAGCTGAGTCAGTATTCGAATATTTCCTTACCAGAAATTGTCTATAGTATTCCAAAGGCTCAGCAGTTCTAAAAGAGATGATATTCTGTGAGTTCACGTACCAAATTGCACGTATAAACCTTTGAACATACATAAGCTTACTTACTTGAAATCCGCGGCCATTTTGAAAATGGATAGAAATAACGAAAAAGCCTGGTAACAAGTAAGATATTTTACGTTCTCTGATTGGCTTTATAATATTAAAAAATTTAGTTTCATATAAGAACTTCCTCGGTAGTATAGTGGTGAGTATCCCCGCCTGTCACGCGGGAGACCGGGGTTCGATTCCCCGCCGGGGAGAGGAAGTATATTTTTTATTTTATTTTCGCCACGTTTTGGATGTTTACTTTGAACATATCAATTTTGTAAACAAATTAGGGAAAAAAGGCAAAAAATTCACACACACACACACAAAAAAAAAAACAAAAAAACACAAAAAACAGCATATCCAAAGTGATCCCATCAAATCATTTTTTTTTAAGTTTGATCGAAATTATTGTATCCAAAATAATGAATAGTTACTTTTCACTTTTTTTTCTTTCAGAAAAATCAACAATAAATTCAGTGGTACAAGTAAATTGGATGGTACACGTTATTATATTGGGATGGGCTTCAATATTGTTTTCAACAGATTCAATTTGATGACAACTATTTATTCCACTAGTAAAAATTTGATTTTCATACAACTGCCTTGCCTTTTTGTCAGGAATGCATTTATACAAAAGATACTATAAATGACCTATATGTTTAAAATTTATCATTACCAGCGCTATTGGATGTGTAAAACTACTAATACTTTGTATTTTGAGTAACTTTTGAAATTCCCAAAATCTAACAGTAAACAATAATACAACAAGGTAAAATTAATGGTAATAGTATTATTTTATTACTGAACTACTGTACATAAACATGGTGACCTTATTCATCACAATATGATTTGCTGGTTCAGCATATAGTACAGACTGGGTGTTACACATGTTCAAGAACTCATTTTACAGGCAGGAATGATAGATTATAAAAATTAGTAAAATATTATGCATTTAATACAAGCAATGCTTCAATCAATCACTGCTCATGCTGTATTCACAGAAAACACAACTTTAACCCAAAATGTTCATTAATTGAAACTACTTTAATACAATATACAGCAAATACACAGCCAACAAGGCAATGAAGATAAAAATCCTTCTTTTAGGAGACAGATGAGATTGGGTTCCTGGGAGATCCCATTTGACTAAGAACCTTGTCCAGCCACTGTAAAGGACCATGCAAATGTACCTCAATCCAGCAAGGTGTACTTGTGACATCCTGACGATGGTACTCGGCACCCCAACCTTTTACAAAACTCATTCTGATTGAGCACATTTTGGTTAGCTCGTACACAGCCTCAAATCCATAATTGACYGACTGTGAGAGAAGTTGTGCAAACTCTTGATTGTTGAATATTTTCAGAGTACACCCACTTGGGATTTTACACACTGTGGTAGGGTGGAAGCCATGACTGTGATTGCAATTTCTACTTTGTACAAATATGGCTGAGTCACTCAGGCATTCTGCATACACTTCGCCGCCTACATAATATAAGTGAACACCCTTCCCTATATGTCTTCTAGTGTTTTCTATAGTGGAGTTTCGGTTAACRTTTGACAGCAGTCCTAGACAGAACCTTTCAGAGTTGGACGTGTTGGGGTCAGTGAAGCCATCCACTATTAGGCTGGTGCTTTTGGCATGAAATAACTCACCAACTCTGTTATTTAGCTCGTAGTATGCAATGGAACACCAGGATAGAGGTTCTTGGTAATTGACAGCTGTAACGTGGGACATTACATCTGCTGACAAAAGAAAAACGAGATTTTCTAAAATCACAATTTGCATTTATCTAAGATCGTTATTATCATTATTATAACTAATGACAACACAKACAAAAACATAGATGTAATAAAAATAATTGTAACACCATAAACATGGTTAGTGCTACTTTTTCACTACAAAGTTCCAGGACTTTTCAAGTACTTTTTAAGCACAAAACTGTGATTTTCAAAGACTATTTTTGAAATTTCTTTTGATGTTTACGAATGTTTCCAGTGGCGATTTTCAAAAATTGTTACATTTCAATCCAAAAGCTAAATAGCAACATGTCAATTTTATCAGATTCAAGGGGTTTTCCAGGAGTTTTAGCGACGTTCTCCATTTTCAAGGGCTATTCAAGAGCCCTGCAAAATGAGTTTTCAATTCCAGGACTTTTCAAGTATTTCAAGGAGTAGCATGAACCGTGCAAGCATAGTTAATGTGCATGCTGTTATCTAGTTGTAAGGAGTGCATTTTATCACGAATAGAAACTAAAATATACACAAGATTGACCCTTCAACTCCTTGACTTCGACTTRTTTTGATCGTTTTTGACTGCTGAGGTTTTAAAGCATTATTTGAGGTGAAAACAAACAAACCTGTTTTAGATCTATTATAGTCAATATTWGGCAAAACCAACCTAAACTTCTGTTTGGTTTGATATGTTTTAAATTTCTTTGTGCCTTTGGTAATTACTTAAAGATGGCATCACAAAGCYTGATGACATTGATTGGCTTACTTGCTGAAAGATGTCAGCAAAGCCAGTAATGAAAAAATTTCTAGTTGTTTATTGATATGTAAAAATGAACCTTCGAAAACTATTCAGCAGTATTTTTTTGAAAGTTGTTTTGATTAAGGGATACACACTGGAAGTGTTAGCACTATTTAGAGAGAGCTTTGCCATTATTAGATTTCATATTATAGAATGAATCTGTTTGATTTGCTCCTAAATGCTGAAGTGTAAATAATATCAGTAAATAATATGCTGAAATACAAGGAATTGGCTTGACCTGTGAATGGCACTAGGAAGATCTCAGGATAAGGACTCAAATTAAAAATTTTGCGAATGTAATGATGAAAATGAGGATTTTTAAGAAAAGAACAACACCAAAGAAAAGTGATTTTCAAAAAATGTTTATATGGTGAATTTTATGTAATAAAGAATTAGCAGCTGATCCAGATGCATGGGGTAGAAACACAGCACTTTCCAGRGTTTGCTTTGGAACTATAATTGTGATTCGGGTGAGTGGTTTTAGAGAGAAAGTGATTTTTAAAATTTTCAAGTTACATATAGCATACATTTTTTTACTTTCATTTTCAATGGCCTTAGGATTAAAATGATTATCACATTTAGGTAGATCATATTCATATTCAACTTCGTATTCGTAATTGCAGCATAGTTATGAATAAYAATATAGCAAATTAAAGTGTCAAAGTTATCAATCTCTAAGGAATTTTATCAGGTTAAGACTATAATTTYGTGTTCCTTGCAAAGAGTCAAATTGTATTTTGCTAATAAAACATGWATACCAAACATAGAACCTAAACAATACAAAGGGGGTTTCATGTTTCTTTTGTAGAAACCACATCTATTTTAACAATATCCTTAGCAGAAAATCATAGAAAATAATCTGTATGTAGAGAGTCTCCACATGGAAAAACATCCAATAAAATATATCACAAATTAAACTWAATTCATCATATCTCAATTACTGATTTTAGATTGAAGATATTTACAAAGCAAATGTTGTACTACATGGACAACACATGGTCAACAGTACTATCAAAACTACTCCTTTCATACAAATTCAATGAACAAACTTTAGTTTGTTATAATTTCAATATCACCRAATGGAAAATTACTCTGGAGGGAGTTCAAAAATTCCATTTAAAAAGGCTTCTCACTATCATATTTTCCTTTGAATTTCCTGTTCTGTCGTCTATCTGTCTTGTCTACAAAAACCACAACAATTACACAATGCCAGAGGGATTGTTTGCTGACTACATTAGCATCCTTTTCTGTCATTAACAGAGGGTTTGTGCTAATGATTTCTTATAAAGAGATTGGCAGAAACATTTTGTATGCCAACCAAACATACTAATGATGTTGCGAATAGAGAATTCATACAAATGTTTGAAGGTTGTAATTTAATTTTTAAATAAAATTTTTGTGGTGAAAATATCAAGAAAACACAGCAATAAAGATTTAGTATTGCCAATAAAGATAATCATTACAATTATGACGATATTGACAGTAGATAAAAACTACCACAACTAGAAATTAATGTATTCTTAATTTAGGATAACTCATCTATTCATAGCAGCATGGAAAGTGATAATATATTCAGTATTTGTCTATAAGAACAAAACACATTCACAAACATCTTTAGAATAAAAATGATAACAAAATTACATTTCAGCTTTGTACAATAGAGACAACAGAAAACAAATAAATAGAAAATATTGGATTGCTCTGTGGTTCATACATTGCATTGTTGGTGGAAAAGTAGGATTGATATAATTTTTTAAACAAATTGTAAATTAAGCAAGGAATTTCTATTTTTAACCTAAAAAAGAGCATCGAAAATCTGAACATAAACTGTACATTGCACAAAATAAGAAGTGGTTTTATAGTTATGGGTGTCTGTACACCCTTAGCCAGACAATATTTATAATAAATAATCTTATCAGCGCTACATGAATACAAGCGATAAGTTCAGCAACCAGTTGGTTCATGATTTCATCATTTATTGTAGTCTTGGAGTCTTTCCTCATGAATAACTAAAACCATGTCATAATTAAGTAAATAAAAGTTACAATGTCAAAGAGATAGCCCAAAATGTTGATTTAAAATTATCTCTAAATTTCCTTTAMAAGTACAATACCAGAAAGAATTTGATTATAATTTGTAAAAAGAAGAGTGCAAGTGAGAGAGAWTGTTTTCAAAGTGATAGAAATACACTATATTTTTAATACCTGGCGTTGGGATGTGTCCAGATGGGGAATCCACATCCATCGTGTCAGGACGGGGGGAACCWCCATCTTCTGACATGTAACCTGTTCCAGATTCTAGAAATATAACACAACAAGATAAATGATTTCATTAAAAAATAAAATAAAATTGGCTTTACAATAAAGCACCAGACTTGATGCAAACATAAAATTACAGAGAAAAACAATTCTTGAAGGAAAGCAAAAATTACAAAGATAAAAGATCAATTTTGAATACTATGGACATAATATTTTTTATTAGATGTAACTTTGCATATCCATGAATCAGCGGGGTTGCTAAGAGTTTGAAGATATATTAAAAAATTGATTGATTAATAAGAGAGAAAATAGAACTACCAAGGTGATATTTTTTCACTGTCGAATAATGATTTCAATGGCAGTAGAAACGTAATTGCCAATTATTTCTATGGTATTCAATATCACTACAATTTAAATAAGATGTGCACAAACTCAACTCTATACAATATTAATTTATACCCCTTCCTTTWAGAAACAGAGGAAGGGAAATGAACAAAAAAGAAAAAAAACTACACAAAAATAATAGTCCTGCCGAGAAAGATAAACCTAGACATATAAAATGGGTCATTAACGTCCAATGACAGTGCTGTTCGTCACAGATGTAATGTAGCACTTAAGTCCAAGACTCCTATCCACCTWTTTTAGCCAGAGGCAGCACTTGATGTCCTTGCAAAATAAATATAAATGAAACTTTAGGCTGCTATGGTAACATTATTGTTTATAGGTGATCATACAAATTTTTTTTTTCAGCTGTGTGTGAATAACTCTGATAAATAAACAAGTTGAATTTAAGAACAGCCAGTGTACCAGTTAGAAAAGTTGGTTTTGGTTAACCATTGAATATTATATATTTTATCTTTGAAACTGTAAAGTGTAAGTTGCCTTTGTCCCTCCTCCTCTACCAAAGTGATTATACTAGTGGTTCTGTAGATTAAAATTTTAGCACAGGTCTGAAAACCCCCAATGAAATCAAGAAAAGTGAATTTACCAAAGTGAAAATGAAGATCATTTAATTATTTGTGCTATTTCTCATTTTTTGCCTGAATTCCAGGTGAATGTTGACTATTTTAAAACAAACAACAAAYCAACAAAGTATTTATAGGATATAGCAAAACTATTACATCATCCAATTGTCCATGCARGTACAGAAGCTAGTGGGAGTTTTTGACCACACTATTAAATATAATAGTGAAAAATAAAAAAAATATCCACAAGTGAAAAACTCCATAATATASTATTTCGCTTCAAGGTAAGGTCGGCCACAATTCAAAATAAATATAGGAAATTCCCTTTTTGGATTAAAAAGAAACATCCCCAAAAAGGAATTTGCGCCTTGGATGTCAAAAAAATTATGCTGATTAACTTTTTAGCCCGTTTCCGGTTGAAGAGACGTGTTTTTTTGTACCGATGGAATTCAATCTTCCTAAAGCCGACAACATTGTATAAATATCTATTGTGAAGGCGTTAAGAACATGAAATTAGCATATTCGATCACAAAGTTATCAAAGAATGGAATCTAGGGACTAAAATGGAGGATTTCATTATGTGAAAAAAAACGCATAAAATCGAATGCGAACWTTTATAGTATCAGCGCGAGAACGCCCGGTCACCTCGTAACATACGAGTATTCGAAAGTACCACTTTGTTAAGCGAGGTTAAAACCATCGAAACACCGCATTACCTGAAATTTCAAAGGAGTTTGGTGGCGACTGTTCGGCAGTACTTGGTCTAGGGCGATTTACAAAGGGAAAAGATGCGTTGTACGGCATCGGCGGGTCTTCGGCAGCGCGAAATGGTGGTGGAAGAGGTGGCGGTGGTCGAGCATATTCGCTTTGCCGAGGAACTAACACGGGAGGAAGAACTGAAAGASAATTTCAAATAAAACAATAAGTCATTTGCACCCAAGGTGCCATAAAATCATCCAAATGGTCACGAAATTATCATAACGACACGAGAGGCACAACCACGTAGTACGCGCTGTCAAAGGACTACATACCTGGACTTTCGACTCGACGATAATGATAAGGATTTATACAGACTTCTTTCTGCTTTAAACCAAAAGCATATTCGCAGCATTCTAAAGGTTTAAGCTCGTGATGACTCTGTAAATCTGGCCATCGCCATACACGACAGTAGATTACATGAGGAAGGCCTTTGCGATGCGAAACTTGAAGACGGCCATCCAAACTCCTTGCGATAGTCACACATTGTGACGGCTGATTTGGGTTAGACAAAGCTTTTTCCAAGTCYTCTAARGCCCCTTTCTTCTTTTTCAGCTTTTTGACTAGCGATTCGATAGCTTTTTCGGCCCATTTCTCTTCTTCGTCGCCTTGCTTCCAGCCTAAAAGGCGCTTGACGGCAGGCGGTGTAAACGAAAAGAGTGAAGCCATACTTGCCATAATGGTTGTATCTTTTCTGCTTACAGTTCGATAAAAACCACAGTTATTCTATAACTGAGTTGCTAAACGTAGCAGAACAGATTCCTGTCCTCGGAACGTCGGAAACACAAGCTGTAGAGTATGAATAGGTGGCTTGCAATCTGAGCAAAAGACTGCTATCAAATCAGTCTTGACTGGCGCCAAAATGGCTGTAGAGCACGCTCAAATAAACAAAACACCACAAGATGTCTTTTAGACTCTCCCAAATACTTCTAAAAGACAGCAACTACTCTCACAACCAGAAAGTATCCTAGATCTTAGATAAAAACAAAGAGGAATCGTCAAAGACTTGAGCTCCTTCAGCCTTTCAGCTTGTGTGATGGGTAAGTTTTTCGAACCAGTGACGTCACAGGAACGGCGACGATGTGTCTGAGCGACTGACAGCTCGTCCAATGGCTGCCGGCCAAAGTTCAAGCCGCTCGCTGCGCCTCTGAGCTCAGCCGAAAAGAAAACAGTTCTGTTTAGGGGTTAGAAATATTTCTAGGTGCAAAATTGCAAAAAGTATAAAAACAGAAATTCTTTCGCTATGATTGGCATAATTTTGTTTGAATGTACATGTTTTGGGTGGCCTGCAATTCGTAAATGAAAGGGAAGGAATATTGAATTATTTCAGCACTCTACTTACTGGGATTAAAATGAAATTTGATACTATCATTGAAAGAAATGAAAACTGTCTGTGAAAGACCCACTTTCATTGTAGAACCTGAATTTTGTTCGCCTCAAATTTAAAAAATATATGAAAAAAGAAAACGCATGGAAAAGTGCGGGTATATTTGGCAGCGGAAACTGAGAGCAACTCATTGCGAAAAATAAAATGTTCAAATGAACCGKCAAACTAGCCCACGGATGAAATCATCAATTCATATAACGGTAAGGTAACCCATCTTTAATTTGTGGTTTTTGATGTACATATTGTTGACCATTATAATTGCTTTTGGCGACGCTCGTAATATTGCTTCTGTATGTCAGCAGGGTGCGCAAATGAACAGAGTCAACGCCCACCTAAATGCCACGCCTTTCCAGAAGGCCACGATTTTTGACTTTTTTGTTAGCGATTACATACTTTAGTGCAACCGATTTTGGAATTAGATGTGAAACTCTGTATTTGCTGCCCCGTAAGTCAGTACGTTTTACGGCAAAATGTTTATAGTGAGTCGACGTTTCACCTTTCTCACGCCTGGCCACAAGTTTCACCAGTTTGTTATAGTTGTTATAGTTCATAAACCCGTAAAAGAAAGTGTACTAAAGTCAAARTGTAGGTAAGGTATGCACTTGAAATGACTAAGGGCCCGACAATGAGAGAATAAAGACTGCGTACCCGTGTTCAAGTACGCGAAACTTATTATTAATATTATTATCAATAACCTATCACGCACCTAACGAGAAACCATTTTCAACTGTCATATTTATAGAAAACTAAGGGTGTGTAAGGCACGCTATGCACAGCCTCGCTCACTCTGGCACGTGACCTCGCTTGGTCTGTTATATTGATTTAAAAACTGAATTTATTATGTTCCAGCAGGCATACATGCAACTTATTCGTAAACACGGGCGGATCACCTCMTGAGATCTGTATCCTTCAATACTTCCTTATTTTATATCTTCTTGGTAATGATTTTTGTTGGGTGCACCCCGTCCTTAGAGCCCCGCACCCCTCCCTGAGAAAAATGCTGGATCCGCCGCTGGCAAACGTGTTTTAACTCTAGTGGAAATGTATCTAACTAGTCTAATGATTATAACGGTCATACGATCGCACGCTCCATGTTGCGAAAAACTCCACACGTTRCAAAAAAGATCGCATCATGTCGCGAAAAAGTGCCATCAAATTCCACACCAGGAAAAAAGTCACGTGATTGTACGGGAAAAAAGCTCTATTAAATTCCACAGGTCAAAACAAGGAAAACAGTGAGTGCGCGTTTTATTCAATAAAACACCACTCCATAGTAAGTAAATTGATAAGCAACAGTTTTTTTCGGTACATACTGAGTGACATACGTATGCCAATCAATCCCAGTTGAAGTATCATCCAGGGCTACATTGGTGCTTGATTCCATGCCCCTGCCTGCTTTTTACGGAATGTACGTGCTAACAGAGCAACCTCAATCATGATCAAAACATCTTTCTATTATGTAATTTATATGTACTATTAAAATCACGATATCGATGTTGACCGGTCATATGGCGCCTTGAATCATTAAAAAGAAACCGCACTAAACTTTATGAATTCCAGTCACTCCATGACCGCTTATAATCAAAACAGTTTCGGTCAGGAACTTAGTTGCAGGTTATTGAATCCAAATCTAATCATTTTGTAAGCAGCATTAYAACTTTACGTTGAAATACGTCAAGTGCGCATAGATGGAATAACATTTTCACAATCGAATTTGAATGCAAAGGATCGATGTTTTTGGTAAATAGAACTAAACCTCACATGGAAATCAAATTATTATAAGTTAATGRCCCCGGAAATTTTTGCATTGGAAATTTTTTGTTATGATTACGGGTTGCGGTGTCTGAAAACATTCTGATTACTAGTACTTGAACGCGAAAAGTTTTGCATCCGCGCGATGGAAAAATTGYGGATATAAAAATTCCGCCGTCTTTAGGATAATAGCGTATGGGCCTTCATATAATATGCTTGTTCCAATTGCAATGATAAATATTAAAACATATTAAAAAACATATTAAAACATATTAAAATGATTTTATGATTAAATGATTTTTTATTCTTCGTTTTCAGGTTACGTCACAGCGGCCATCTTGGAGGAACTTTAACAAAGGATTTCACCGTAGTATCGATTGTTCATTCCTCCAATATGGCCGCCGGTCTTTTTATCTTTTGAATCTCATGGGAACGGTTAAAAATGATCAATATTGCAATGAAAAGGATCCTTTTGATAAACAAAACAAAAAACAAACCAACCAACCATTAAAAAAAAAAACATWAAAAAAAACCCACACCAAACMCAAGCATAAACTAACCAAAACACTCAAGCATACACAAATCACTGCAGCAACTTTTTACGTACTCTATGAGCACATGGGAAATTTTCATTCAGCGGCATTGCGACACAAGTCAGGCTGCCAAACTTGTTCAATGCCGGGTAACAGTACATACGACAAAAAATACATGGTAGTCACCTCGCACTCGTATTTTGTGCCGGGCTGCCTGGAAAACGAGTGCGAGGAGACAAAATGAATGGGATGATGAGAATCATCGCGTTCGAAACATTATACGTTCAACTGAATTACTTACTAAGAAATGAGAGCCTCACTATAATTTGAACAGTGTATATCTTTCTGATTTAATTATTAATTCAAAATAATATTGGAATGTGTAATAATTAAGTTAAAAAGTATAATTTGAACATAAGTCTATCAGTATCTGGATAGCTAGAATTGCAATAGAAATCCTTGATTAGCCAACGTAACTCGAATGAGATAAGACTTTTGCGAGTGACGATGCCTTGTTTAAAATTATCGTTTGGGGAGCTATAGAATTCTAGCATGCTTAGAATTCTTCAATAGTTTTCAAAAAAGGAATGACTTTCCAAATGTACTAATTTTAAGGAGTTCGTTTGCTGGTAGGTCCCAACAAAATAGTAGGTGAAAACCATCTATTATACCTAGAACTGAATAATTCTAGCGAACAGGACCTTGTTTTGATGAAAACTGTTTTCATGTTGGTCGGATTCCATTACAATCTTTACTATCGAGTTGAATTTTAATTCTATTGTGATTTTAAGTTTACAGGTTCGATTTTCCAAGCGCCAAGCAAATAACGCAATCGTATCAGTAACAAATCTCGTCCCATTTGAAGCCAACTCCACACAGGGATCATCTTTGAACCTTAGGAATGAATTGTTTATAAAAATGTCAGAAAAACATTGAAAAAACACATTTCCGTAGTCACACCCTCCCCCCTATACAAATCATGATAAGAACTAATCCATGATTAAAAGATTAGGCTTGTTGAGAGATTATCCTTAATCTGATGAGCTTAAAGGCAGTTAAGCACTGCACATGAATCCATACAAGGAAAAAATGTTTCAGCTCGGAAAGTGATATAGTTTTTAGTTTCATTATTTGGCTTTTGAGTAGAGGAAAACAAGCCTGGTTCAGACGAAAACATATGCACAAGAGAGAGAATATACCCTGGTTCCAGAGGTTTGATATAGCGAAGAGTGAAAAAATCGAATCTCTTTGGACCAGGGTAGAAAGAAAACAAGTAAAAAGCAAAACCAAATAGATTAAGGATATAGAATAATGAAGACAAATTAAATGCAATTTTCTTGTTTTCAATGAACTTATGCTTAGCCTTATGTGTATATTGCTGTGCTGATGTTGATGCCTTAGTTTAGATGTACTTTCACTAATTTCTTTGTCTTTTCTTTTGTTTTGACTGATGTAAATTTATGATGTTGAGTGAACTAGGCTTTACATGTCCAGTCAAGGGGAGACATTTAAAAGGTTGAAGTCCTTGATATAAGATCTTTAAAGATTAGAATTTGTGCCTAAAGCACCTCTGAAAATACTGTGACCTACAGAAAGTCACCTTTTTGTAATATTCAAAGTTCAACAAAAATAGAAAAGAAAGTAATGAGAGTACAGAAACACTTACAGTATATCTAAGTATTCTTGTGTGTGTTTTCATTAATCATGAATTTTATTAGTCATTATTAATATAATATTTATTATTTATTTATTTACCATCTATTTCCTGCCAATTTACTCCAACTTCTGCTATATGGATATTTAACCGCTGAGCAATATAAAGAAGCTCTACATCAAATGCCCTGCAAGTGAAAACACTGTCTTCATTTTCTTTTATAAACACTCATTTTTTATTTGTTAAAACTTCAAAAATCAGAGAGACAAGCCTTACCATCTCTCCACATGCAAAGCTGTGAAGGTTAAAAATGCTGCTTTTCTTGTGAATAATTTGAAACCGCACTGTTAAGAAGAACAAAATAGAATTGCTGTATTTTTTTGAAACTCTAAACTTCTTTTTAGATGGACAAATGGAAAAATGAATGAAGTAATAAAAGATTAAATGAATGAAAAAGACAAATGGAAATACCTGTGTGTCTTTGACTCCCTTGACACATAGAAACCATACCAAGAAGTGAAACCCATACATCAAAAAATTCCTAAAAAATGATCTCTACATATAAAAAAAAAGAATAATAATATTAAAACATGTAAAAAATAAAAACTAACCTTAGTTTCAAATTCTTATCAGCATATGGGACTATCCCCAAGTGGATTATAATAAGTATTAAAATATAGGACATGTAACAAGGCTTCCTATAATAAGTGCTTTACCAGAAACCTAYAAGTCCCTTATAGGTTTCTGTCTTTACTAATCAACAATCTATGCAGAAACAGTTGGAGTTCTTAAAGTGCAACTGAACTCAATTTTTTTCAAATTCTAGCATAATCTAACCTATTAAAATCAGGGGCCTGGTGCAAATGTTCACGTCTACTAAAGGAATCTTCTCTCACATTTCCATTGCCATTCAAAGTAAATGGTGGAGATTCTAAGGTATTCATTCCTGTTATAAACTCTTTGAATTATAAACCAACTTTCAACAATTCTTAGTTGAAATATCAACCGATGTGAGAACTTTGGTTCCTTAGAAGACATCATATGAACTAGGCTAGACTCAGACCTATCCTCATATTTGGAAAAAATTGAGTTCAGTTGCACTTCAATGGTGTATAGTTTTACTTTGTTATCATGTAACAATAACAACAAATACTTACATGAGCAACTGCTTCTTCTTGTAAATGTGCTCTTGAACCAGCTATAATAACCAATTTTGTGTTCTAAAAAAYATATGCAATTGAATTTACCCCTTGAAAAATCAAAATTAATCTCATTTGTAAATRAGTTTATGACCAGATGTGACATTTTACCATTGACCATTTCCGAAATTCAAAGAGAGACTGGCACCTAGTCATAAACTCAATGTAATTCCATGACAAGAAARGGTATACTAAAATCAGAATACTAACTTACAGAGTACTACTGTAGCTGTTAAGTACTAAACAAAATAGGCTCAAAATTGTATTTAATATTCATATAGTGAGGTTCAGTTTTCAATAAGTAGACTAATTTTTCACACTACTTCCCAATTTCCTTTTCAGTTATGGAAAGGGCCAATTAAAACATCTCTCTTGGCTTTATAGACTGCCATTAAGAAAATAATAAAGGATGTCCAATTATAAAAAAATCCTTTAAGATGATGGCTGGTGTAGAAGTTACAAACCTTTGTTTTCTGAATATCAGTTAAAGCTTTATCAAGTTTGTCTAAGTCTGCAAATTTAGTGGCTCCATCAGCATCCACCATTAAGATTTTTCGGCCTCTGCTGCTGAGGACACCCTGATTTAGAAACAAGGAAAACACAAGTCAGAGCAAAAYATAAAATAGACAGAATTATTAATAATAACATAAATTAAATATACATAAATAATAACATTTTCTTACCAGTCTCACTGCTCCACCTTTCCCTTTATTTTTTGCTAGAGTCAAGACCCTAATGTGACCAATTCCATACTTTTTAACATACTGAAGACCAACCTATGTATAAGAATATTATGTAGCTGTAGCAACACTATATTTTTAACACTAATATATATATGAGAGAGTACATCACAAAAGGGGTCTTGTCTCTAGCGGGAAAATTCAGTCTTCCAAAAGATGTAATTAATTCAGTTGCTGCATCAAATCCTTTAACCCCCTTTTGTGCTGTACCTTCTCATATATATATTGGTGTGGGCTTCCTGTGTGAAATGTAAGCCAGCTAAAACGTCTGTGAATTTATCTGCCTCACAGACTTTTTATCATGTACACTTTGTAACTTGGTAGCCTCTTGTATTAAGTAGATTATCTAAGGCCAAGGACACAATACTTCAGAGGAGGTTAATCTTTTGTAAATTTATCACTGTTTTTGCTTGAAATTTCAACAAAATGACCCAATTGCCAATCAAAACTGACATGAGAATATAAATACTACTGATAACATGCATTAAGGATCTATGGGGAATCTAGGGGAATCTGTGACAATGTTTCAAAGCCATGCTGTTCTGTACATGCTCAGTGTGAAGTACACAGAGTTTTGATGTGCAGTCATGTGCAATCTGCTCTCATAAAGTATAAATTTGTACCTGTGTTGTCCTGTCCTTACTTCCATCATCAACTATGATAATTTCATAGGTAAAAGAAGGGTTGGATCGCTGGAACAAAATGAGAATAATTTAAATGATGAACTTTTATACAGGTCTCTGAATGGAGAGTTTATATGTACGTTATACCCTATTTTCGAATTACAATAGCCTTCAAATTCTTCAAATTGAGACTATTTGTATTTCCAGAAGAACTAATTGTTCTTCTTTCATGTAATTCTTTTGGGAATACAGGGTTAGCCTCACCTTAGGGGAAATGAAAATTGTTAGGCTATTGTAATACTCCTATATGTGATTTGAGTTTGTAGGCTGGTTCTCTGCCTTGCTCCGAGGGTTTTTCTCCAGGTCCGCTGGTTTTCCTCCCTCAGTCAAAAACTAGCTGTGAGGAGTGTTGTGTTGTAAAATAATGAATGTTGAGGTAGTGAGTGTGAGTGAATATATAGAGGGCCACAAGTTTATTAGTCTAGAGACTATTATGTGCTACCCTGTCAAAATAAGATTTTGTTATTTATTTATTATTAGTACAATAAAACTAACAATTTACATTTTCCTCGAGTTGAGGCTAACCCTGTATTCTCAGAAGGAGATACCTTAGTTCTTATGGGAATACAGGGCTAGTATAAACTYGGGGGAAAAATGCAAATTCCCAAGGCTTTTGTAATAAAAACAATTTCTCAGGGTCTCTTTTGTGTTTGGTCAGGTCTATGTACAAAAGAATCTGTTGTCAAATATAGCAGCAGTCTTTCACTATGAATTTGAAACTAGAGTGACAACATTTTCTCATGCTTTCTCATGCTCTTTTGTGTTTAGTGAGGTCTTTGCGCAAGAGAATCTTTTGCCCAAAAAACAACAACAGTTATTGTTTGAATTTGAAAATGGAGTATTGATAGACTTTAACTTCCAGCACAGAATTTGCAAAAAAATTATTATAACAGAAACAAAACATATACAAAGGATTTTACAAACCTTTTTAGACTTAACGTAGTCAAGGGTCTCATCAAGCATGATGGGCACTAAAAACATAAATATTGTCAATTTAGTTTTTCATCAAGCTGACAATAATAACAATATTAACACTGCTGAGGGAAACATCAGCGGTCGAGGRACCGCAAATCATACTGTTTCCTGAGGTTGCCAGTAAAAAAGTGCTTTATTATCATATCAAGTGTAAAAGAGAGCAAAACAAATTTAAATAAATGAAGTCTTTTTATTAAAGATTTTGATAAAATGACTGAAATATGGCAAATGATACATAATACAAATAGTCCAATGTCACTAAAATCAATCAATGTAATAACAAAATGAATACTATAAATGTAACTTAGCTATTTGTAGTCGAAATTAAATGTTTCATAACAATTTTGGAATGCACTGTCCGTAAATGTGACATTTTCACAACCCTGAAGAGTGTTTTTCTGCAACTTTGTACTTATTGACGGTCCACAACATATTATTGACTGCTGGTGGACAGTTGCCTGGAAACAGTAAAATTTTGTGACTTTCACGTGGTACACTCTCGACCAATAAGATACTAGGAAAAGTGAACTTTGACACTTAATATATAATAACAATAGTTGCTTTCAGACTGAATGGATGATAGGAATATCTTCATAATATCATCACTGCATCTGTAGTTACTGAACGGACAACAGGCCATTTAAAATAAATTCAAAAGAAGCAATAGCTCAAAACAATGTAGCAATAAACATGTRGCCAAACAATATTTCAAAATACAAAGAAACGTAACTAGATTACAATAAATCCTAAATAAATCTTTCCTACTCAACACCAATGGATAAATAAAGAATGGATGGATGGGAATGTATAGAATAAACTTATCAAAATAAAAAAGTATTTTGACTTAAATTATTACCTTTTCTTTAATAGAATTACAATAAAAGGAAAAAGAAATCACATAAAAATTTATAGCATGCATGTCTAAATTAGAAAAAAAGTATAATGGAGAACAAATGTTATTACATCATTTAACAAATGGKTAAGTCCATGTTTAAGACATATAATGAACTATCCCTGTTCTTTTAAATGTAACAACAAATAATCTTGCACCTTTTGACCACTTATGTGATACATAAATTACTCTMTTATGGATAGAGACTCTATTTCACCAACATTTCACCAAAATTTCTTATATGAAAAACAAATATGTCTTTATAAGTTTTTGGTGTCCAAATAGAATACAAGTATAACCATAAAACATTCATATATATATAAAAAAGAACAAAATTGTATTACTTCCTATTTAGCTAAAGACAAATCCTGTTTAAGTGCACTTTTCAATCCGGCCTTCTCAATAGACAATGATGACTCCTATATACTGTTAATGACTTCAAATGCAGCATATTGGTATAGAGGATATCCTTTCAATACACAAGTTAAAAACCCCAAATGACAAAAACCATTAAGGTGCTATCTTAATATCTAAGAGACAMGATTTCAGAGATTGCAGGTAATATAACTTGTAATCTAAATGCTTTTAGAGAAATAATAGTGTCACGAAATGTATACAGAATCAAAATGTTTGTTAGTCATCAGTTAATAAAAATATACAATTTGATATACGATTTGATGAAGTCATATGACCAGGTTCTTACTTCTTTCTTCTTCGTTGTAGGCCGGAACCACAATGGATAAGTCAACCGATCCTTCCTCCTCCATGAATGGAAAAAAATACGTGGCGTTATTTTTGTTGGGATCTTTGTAGCTTTTCTCACTTTCAAAGCGTTTAATTTCTGGAACTTTGTCTAATGTAGTGATTCGAATCATGACCAGACTCTAAAAAAATAGTAAACATGTTATTTCGGCTTGTTTCTGACGCAATATCCCTGATCAAAAARTTAGAATTGTTAAACACCGCTATAATACATACAAAAATTAAAGCAAAGACCAGGAGGAGAGATAAATAAAGAAATAGAGTGGAAAATGAGACACCAAACACCACTTCAATGACCTCCATTGTACAGTGCTTACTGTCTCTAAGTTTCTCAGTCTCCACGCGCTTCCACTTTATTACCTTAGTAACCTGGCAAAGTGTGGTGTGACACAAAGTGACGAGTTGCGTGACAATGAACCAACTTCTTTGCCGATCGATAAAATACTCGATATAGTGAAAAAGCGAAACAAATAAAGACAGCTCAGAAACGGATCCAGGATTTTTCAAATTGAGGTTCAACCTTGTTTTCGCATTTTCCTACAACGAACTTTTTAACTGTGCCTCTCGAACTATGTAGCAAATGTAGCGTGAATGTATTTAAGAAAAATTCATTTCATTTTATTTCATTTATCATTTATTCTATTTTTTATTTTTTTATGCTTGAGGAGGGTTCCTAGGAACCCATGCCCCCCTTCCCCCCTGGACCCGCCACTGAAGCTCGATCATTTTTGTGGTGGAGAACTGGCAATGGATAGTAATTCCCAAAATGTTCTCCATTTCACGTACAGAATAGACTCGGTACGAGTCTATACAATAGAACCGTTTTAAAACAAGAATGTACTACAAGGTCTGAGGGTCTGAGGTGTTCCCGATTATCATGCGCACTTTGATCCACTTCGATTTTTTTAGCGATATTCGTCTTGAAATTCCTCAATGACACAGGAATCCCATGATTGCGCATGATTGATTTAACATCATATGTTGGCACYGATCTGTGGAAGTTTGAATGTTAAGTCGAATTCCTTTTCCACGAAATCAGAAATGTTAAATTGTTTTCATATTACAAGCGTTCTTGCAAAGCTTTCACAACACTATCCCCATGCGGCCCATAGTTTTAAGATGAGCACATGCGTTATTGCCAATTATCGTCTAAGTGAATTGAAGAAGAAAAACGTATTTTCATTCTATAGAGATTTTCTCGAAATCACTTTCTTTGTAGTATCTTTAGCCGTAAAACGGCGACGTCGAAATATGCCGATAAGCATGAAAACATATCATGTTCAAATTATAACTATATTATACAGTTTCATGTAAATTATGACTAGCTTTCTGTAAGAAGAGTTACTTTGGGTTTACAGTACAATAAGATCTACTTTCATTTACGATATCCCATTTTTTATCAGTTCTTGAATAGTGTTCTGGATTGGAGTGTAATTTTKGGCATTTCCATCACACATATGCTTCAAGCTCAATACCTGCCACTTTCCCTCCTTAGTTTTACACATGCTACACATGATAACGGCTTGACAGTCTGAGACAGCACGGGTTAGTGAATCATCACACAACTTATTATTTGGATCTCGTGCATGAAAAAAGAGTAGACGCGGATTAGGGTACTTGGAAATCTTTTCAGACCCGAATGCGCTTAGAGTGAAAAACATCTTGTCAATCTGTTGTGGTAAACTCTTGATTTTCACTTYGATGGTTTGATGRCCMGTGAGATTGGTGTTGTCATCTTTATCACCAGAATGCAAMACAGCTTTGTGACTMYYRCTCYGTTTGTGTTTCCAGTCCAACACTTCTTGAMAAGTATTCCCACTGTACAACAGAATAGATGCATCTAAGTACTCTTTCATAGGGACCGAGTCAACAGTAGGAAATTCCCATGACAAATCAAAAGTGACTTTGTCAAAGGAGTCAGGAATCTTGTAAAGCACAACAACAAGGTTTATAGTTGAAGATGATTGAACGTTGCATTCAAGGAGAGTTGCACAATCGTATCTCTACAAAAAGAAGAAGAATTATGATCAAAAACCTTTTCGGAAAGAGGCGTAATGCCATTATGGGTACGAGTCTGATATTTGGCCTAACTCTGATAGCAAGTGATGACCAAATGAAAAGAAAAATTCAAATTTGTTGGTTCAAACCTCTACTAGTTGTTTTTCTTGATACAGCAATCTTTGTTGTTCTGGTTTGATATTTAACAATTCTTGAATCTTCTTCTTGAKTTGGAAAACAGTCATGTTTGGATCAAACTCTATTGTAACCTCCTCACCATCTATTAAAGACACCTTGATAGTTTCATCTTTAGTAGTGCATGGGATAGCTTGGGGAGTTTCAACATCAGGGAACATTCTCTTCAGGATGTAAACGCATTCTTGATACCTTGGATTGTCAGTTGCAACTGGTTCTTTGCACACTGAACAACACTGGTTCTTTTCCACAGACTCTTTTGTGCACTGTAATTAGAGCCAAAAATTGTTATTTTTACAAAGCATAATAAGAAAGCAACTGCAGGGGAACATAGTATGCCCTCGATCATGAAATGTCGGCTTGTTTCAAAAGGTTTTAGTTTCAGTCACTCTCTCGTTGTTCGTGCTAATACATCACAATTGTTCTTGTTTTCTTTGAGTACAACTACACTAAACATCCTCCCCAACCAGGGGKGTTAGGTCGAGGTTGGCATCACCAAATAGTGGGTTTCCTGTGTTAGAAATGAGATTCGGCCCTGTTGTGATTTTATACTCACCCTTAAGCAATGAAGAGGAGCGTGGTCACAATTTCCTGTCAATGCTTTATGTGGAAACTCTCTGTAGAGCTTATGTGCTTCACAATTACGGCATCTCATTCTGAAATACGCTTTCCAAACGAATTCAGCATTTATAATCTAAAGAAAATAAGACATCATTTAAATGATTTTTTTTTACTATAAGAATATTACTCGTGCGAGGTGGCCGACTTAAGCTTTACCTTGACGACTCTATCGTGTAGAGTTCAGTGCAGACTATCATAATTTCTTGCAACCTTAATCTGAATGCGAGAAACGGCATTCTGTGGAAGACTTGTCTCAAAGCCTCCCGCCATGAAATAGGTTGATCCAGCGATTTGAAAATTTCGAGCCAAAGTCTTCCAAACTAAATATCAGGGATCTGCGTGCTGAAGCCGTCAAAGAGTCTGGGGCAATCAACTAAATTTAACGCTTTCCCGTTGCAAATTACGCAAATTTTGTTTTCCTGGGTAATGTGTTTAGAGCCTTAAAATGACAAAAAAAATGCATGCTGACCCTGATGGCAGGTATATTATATGTGATATTAAAACAAATGACAAAATTATAACACTAGGAACAATTTACGCTCCAAACGACGACAATCCAATTTTTTTTGAAAAATTTTCGGATACCTTAAAAGATTTTCAATGTGACGAGCTTGTAATTGGTGGAGACTTCAATCTAGTTCTCGATATTGAAAAAGATAAAAAAGGGGGCCTAGCCAAAACGCACACTAAATCAGTGAAAGCGCTCAAAGACATTATGACAAACCTAGATTTAACGGATGCTTGGAGAGTTTTAAACCCTGAAAAAAGAAGATATACATGGCGCCGAAGTAAGCCTGAAANATGAAATAGGTTGATCCAGCGATTTGAAAATTTCGAGCCAAAGTCTTCCAAACTAAATATCAGGGATCTGCGTGCTGAAGCCGTCAAAGAGTCTGGGGCAATCAACTAAATTTAACGCTTTCCCGTTGCAAATTACGCAAATTTTGTTTTCCTGGTTAATGTGTTTAGAGCCTTAAAATGACAAAAAGGAAAAGTTTTAGCAACTGATTTAGTTTGGGAATGGTAGTAAAGCCTTTTTAAAAAGAATGTGCGCAGTCTCCAGAGTCAGGCATCTAACTTCCGCTGGATGGCAAAAGTGCGGGCTCTGGCTATAAAAGAAACGAAACCCGGATGCCCAGGCATCCTGTGACAAAAAATGAAGCCCCAACTCGAGTGCTATCATGGAGACTATAAATACATTTTAAGACTACTTTGGAGAATGTTGGCTAGTCGATTTAAGAACTATGATTTCTTATCAAAAGAAAATATCAAAACCCAATAATTTTAATACATTCTCAAAGTACAGATTTCGCAAAGAGCAATTTCGCAATAAACTGTGGATTTCGTTCTCTCTTTTCGAAAAGCCAGCAGTATTACGGTAAGCACTCTTCCGAAATTATCTMATGGTGATTTCTTAAAACAATGAAATAAGCTTAGTCCAACACTTACTCAATTCACGAATATTGCCGTTGTTTTCGATCGATGCTCGACTTCCTTTATCGATCCTTTCGCATTTTACCAAGAATGTGGATTCTCGGAACAGTGTTGCAGTCAGTTGGTTACGTCTAAACAAACGCACTATACCCATATTTGGGAATTGTCAGATGCTGGTGGCATTTGATTCGACCATCAATTGCTTTGTAGGTCAGTCGATCGAAGAGCGTCTCRTGCCTCGTCAAACTAGTAAGTACCAGTAATATTCTTTTTGTCTTTCTCGATGATGACGGTACTGATAGCTTTTTCAAATGTCTTACAGATAAACGTAATTCTCCAGACTAAAGTGTTATCAAGATTTATGCCCTGTCATCATGAAATTAGTCTGACGTCGTTACCAGAGTCGGTAAGTTTCATCTCCCGAGTTTCATTCAGCGCTTACTGAACTTAAACACCGTGAATTTTGAAAATAAACCGGATGCACGCAGGCTAGCTAGTAAGTTTTTTTAGCATATAAAGTGACTAAAGTCCCGGCGTATTGAGTTGCGCTTCCAAGAAATCATTTAAAGGCATTTTTCATGAAAGAGTTCAAAAAACGCTACATTTTCCATATAGTCAGCGAAGCAATTGGCATAGTTTCAAATACTGCTCTATAATGGTGTTCAAAATAATATGAATGCATAACCAGAAGGGCGTCTGATGTTGAAGTGATTTTAAGTTTTACAAGAAACTCTTGAACAAATATGCTCGGAATGTTTATAGCGAAAGCAAGACAGGGATCCGTCTTAACTTGTCTGGGATTGGCGTTCATGCAAGATCGTTATTTTCCAAAAATCAATTGAGGCTGCATTCATTATGTATAACACAGGAAGGGGGGCAGAGGACATTTTGCTRGAAGGCACAAAATKTTTGGATCACCCCCAATTCTCAGCTGTAATTTTCATACCCCCCTAAATTTGTGAGATAGACATGATGTATGTCCAAAAAATTTGACATCCCCGCTTTTCCAGTCTATAAATTTTCAGATCCCCCCAAATTTCCTCTGCTCCCCCTGTAGTATACATAATGAATGCAGCCTTAGTGCTTCTTTGTGTGTGTTTGTGCACGTCTAGGGGAATTCCCTGCACGAGACGACCTTCGCTCTCTCGTTAAGGTCGATCACATGAATAAATCTCAACGTCATAAGCTTGAACTATCAATTGATTGTTCATGAAAATACGGTTAAGATGATATTTGTGAATTTCCTAATACTCCATTTTCGAATTCAAAGCGATAACCGCTGTTTTATTTGACAGCAGATTCTCTTACGCAAAGACATTACCAAACACCACGGGTAGCCCAAGCTCTTTACTTGATATAAGAGAATGCATGCGAGTCTATGTAAACAGTCGATTTATAGCGCGCGCCGAGCACCATAGTTAAGAAAAAGTATATCAATCGAGTTCATTTTTCATGGACCGACACAGGGCTCCCGGGCGTACACAACCTCGTTCCCAGGGCTACTCTGCTCGCTTTTTTCAAAGTGTCTTTGGGCGCAGAGTAGCCCTGGGAACGAGGTTGGGGCGTACACACGTTTCCTTCCTTCCTCACAGCGAGCCCAAGCAATGACTTTGAACCTATAATAGTTAAAAATAAAATTTTACTTAAAAAAATAGTCTACTTTTATTTTATTCAGTGTCACAATGCATTATAAATGGGTTTTAAAAAATATCCCCTACCTATATATTGATAGTGACAAGGGAGGAGACTCCGCTCGAAATTCTACTAAAAATGAGCCAAAAACGATCGACAAAAATCCTTTTTTCGCACCGAAATTAAATCAAAACGAACATTTATCTGAGACAGCATACGTAAATCAACGGTTTCTACCTTATTTTGGACGAGAGGCATCGATAGAAACGCTTTTTCGGGCAAAAAAATCCAAAAAGTGTCCCTAAAAATAGTCCAAACCCATTCGCGTCGAGGTTACTTGTCACACTTGAGCGCGCAAAACTGAAAACTAGACGAATTTGGAGACTCTGGAGGGGGAGGGAGTGGGAGGCACGCAATGAATCTTAATAGTTAAAAGTACGGAGGTACGTTACAAAATACAAAAAAAAACACTCGCTAGTCGTCCAAATGACCTGAAACTTCACACGAAGAACAAGGAYAATAAAAGAGACAACGTAGGATGAATTTTTCATCAAATTTCCAAATTTCAGCTAAAAGTGCGTATTGTAGAGCTTGGGCTATCTGTGGTTTGACCAACTCGATTTTCATCAAATAAACAGGCAATGTTGTACTTACATTAGTTGGAAAATTTTTAAACATGTATTGATTTTTAATTTACTGCAACAATAGCAGTTTTATGGTAGAAGAAAGAATTCAAAGAAAGTTGTTTTTTCCGGCCAATTTCGATGGCATCAGTACTGAAAAACCCAAAGTTAAATAACTGTAGGATATTGTTAATAATATATCTCAAAACCAAGGAAATTCTTCTAGACGATTTTGAGAAAAACGATGTTAAAAACGTGTATGTGTTGCGTTTATGTGCTTTCTCACAATTGGCCGATATTCATGATAAAATGCCGATTCTGACGCTCAGTTTTWCAGAAAAAGACTYGCTTGGCTTATAAGATAATGCTGATGGCGAACATTCGAATTACGCATGCACTAACAGCGTCTKTGACTCTAAAATTGCGAGAAAAGTTGCTGRAGTGATGTTACACTGTGMAATTGCGTTGCAAGCTGTACAAAAAATGTAGACCCGAGTTCTACTTCGTGTAATGTTACACACAACACTGTTGATACACTGTGCTATTTTTCCACCAGCTTGCGTCTTAACTGCGTTGCGAGACAAGTTGCTGAGAAAATTGCACAGTGAAACAAGACCTTATATGTCTTAACGGTGCGTATTTCTCATTGATTCAAAGGCTCTAAATGACAGAAAATGCCAACAATATGTCGAAAGAGAGTAGAAACACAATTTGTCACGAGCTCTTTCAACGCAATAGTAACACAGAAAGTACGTTGGTACAGGAAGTTGGCAGTAACTTATCCTCCACGAGTGTACTTGAAAATCCAGCCCTTACTGAACAAGTTAATCCACGAGCACGCTTACTCTTGGAGAAGACAAGTGGTTTTGATCCTTGTAATGTACCACCAGAAATAGAAACACCCGGAGGAATATTTGACGATGAATACCATGTCCTTGAAAATCCAATTCAAACTCAAGTTGGATCGTTTCACAATGTCGAGGAAACAATCCAGCAGTCTCCTTATGCAGTTGGCACAAGTCAGGTTAGGTGTCCTCCTCACTCTCTGTAGCCATTTCATATTGATTTGATACCGTTTCATCTGACTATTCGTACATTCACCACTGTCAACTTATAAAGGTTGTTTTTTAGCCAATGGCTCAAAACGTAATTTAGGTACCTAATTTTAATWATAGAATTCAAGTGTTTTTTAAGTTTATAAATCCTCGGCAAATCCATTATGCCAAAACATCGTATAAGAAAGTAAACTTCAGCACTAAGCCATAGTCAGACCGTGGTAGGGGATTCTTTTGAACCTCCTCGAGTAAAATGCCAATAAGTTTGGAACCAAATTAGAGTCGGGATGATTTTAAGACGACAGGCACCMAAGAGCATGACGTCATCACAATTAAGACATCATTTTGGTACCATGTAGACGAAAGAGCAGTAACGACTCGTTATATCATTTGACCGGTTAAAATGATATCGATATATTATTCTTAAATATTATACATATTATATCATCATTTTACTTGATTTCCTTTTCTTTCTTATTTATACATCATATTCTTCTATCCCATGTCAGAATGTGTGCGATTAATTACACGTAAGTGTATGAGTCGTATACACTAGCGTGTTCTTTGCCATTAAAATCTAGGCCATGGAGCAAGAGTGTCCATAAAGATCCCAAACAATACAGCTCGTTTCATGCATTTTCGYACTCTTGAMTTGCAGGAATCGGTGGAGTGGTTTCACTTACATGTCCATAAAAACGCTTCGGAAGTTACTCTTCTGCTTGATACCAGTGCAGGYGATTCGCCTACTTTGCAGGAATACCCCTTAAATTGCAGAATTCAAGATCGCTTTAACAGCTATTGGAAGGTAGCAGTACCAGTTCTTCAAAACGTAAGCAATGTCAAATATATGTACAAGGTCCTGTATCAAGGAGCAAGAACTCCAAAAGAAGAGCAACTATTTGTCCGTATTGGTATGTGTGGCGAACAGAACCATTATGATATCTTTAAAGAACATATGCCTTCAAAAACAGACAGAACCTTTAAAGGCAAATTATTCTACATTGCGCATCACTTTCAGCGTTTACGTTTGTCTGCGCAGGGGAAAGACCTTAWTCAGATCTTGTCAGATATTGACAACATTGGTTTGGATCAGAACATTCTTGGCAAAGAAATCAGCAATGACAGCAAGAAATTATTTTACCACTCGGTGCATGAAGAGTTGAAAAAAGATCTCACTCCTTACAGCAGTGCAGCGATTTGTTCACTACTTGGCCAATTTTTCCAAAAGAAATKTCCRAGTAATTTCTTTAAAACTGTTTTGAGGAACAAGAGCGAAATTGCAGACGGAGTTTTGATCCAACTAAGCAAGTGTAATCACGCTCATCTCCCACAACAAGCCATGGAATTCATAGAAAAAATTCATCTAGAGTTTGTCAAAGCGAGCACTAAAATTGGAATAACCAACCTTCAATATGTACAGCTTTTTGGACATCTCTTCCCGCCTGATGTTGTTATACATGGAGCTTCTTACTATAAAGACCCGGAAGCTGACAAGTTTGACGATATTGCCAGAAATGTGATACAAARCCTAGTGAATACCCAAGATATTACAAGAAAGTACCTGTTGATAAAATACGTAATATCTAAAGTGCCAACAGTCTCTTCTCTATGGATGGTCGTTCGACAGTTAGATGAGAACAATTCTTATGAACCATATTACGAAGAGATAATCATTGACAGGTTTCCTATTTTCATCAGAAAGGAAAGAGATATCAATCTATCACTTTGGAAGGAAATACCTGAAGCTCTCAGATCAAAACTAGCRGWTATGTTTTTGCAAGAACTAAAACAACGCTTGGATAAGGKAGTKCAACCATTTGATGCGAGCTTCATAACTGAACTTATTCTTGACGATGATCTCCAGAAAGGTGCCTCTAATGAACTTGTGCAGTTTCTCAAATTCCTTTCAAGACCCAGCCAACAAGATGGAACCAAGGCCAAGAAACATTATACTGTTGTGTGCAGTGTCRTGAAAGACAAGCGTTTCCACTCGTTTTGGGAGAAGATAAAAGACAAGTATGCACCTAAAATAGTTYAGAATCTTGCAGCAAGTACAATCCAACTAGTTTATTCCTTCGGGCTAGACAAAGAAAACGTTGAGGAATATATAATAGCTATTTTTCAAGAATTGSATGAATTAAGCAAGATACCTGCCTTGGAAGAGTATGAAAGCGTCATGGAAAAGTGCATTTGTAAGGATTTGCGTTCATTTARCCTCAAAAGGATGATCAATGCCTACGACCAGATGCAAAAGTCAGAGCAGTTAAAAACAAGCCGMAGTGTACAGAAGTGGTTCGTTACTGCGACGATTGAATTACTAAGAATCGAGAACCCAGRCGTTAGTGTGAAGTTTAAACTACTGAACTACACCGATGACTTATCAAGTTCAAAAGATGTTGAAATAATTGGGTAAGTGTAACTATATGATCATAATGCTTACTATTTTACTTCTATTGTTATTATTCCTGGCGTYAGAGAAAGTATTTGAAATAAAAAATGTATGTATCCGACGTTTCAAAGTTGTCCTGGCCCCTTTATCATGGCAATCTTTCATTTAATGAAGCTATATATATATAGAATTAGTTTGTTTATCTMAGTGTGTTCGTACAGCAGAAACACGAAATATTACCATGGCAGTTTAAGGATGTACATATTAGATTCTAAAGATAAGGTATGTTCTACAATGCAACTAAAGAAGATCCATTTTTTCATCTCTCTACTATAGCAAAAGAAGAGAAATTTTATTTCTCCTTCTAGACAAGTCAATGGTATCTACTATTACAAACCAAGACGAGATACGAAGTGTCGTTGATGCAGTTCTTTCTGACAGGAAGATGTGGGAGATCATTTTTGAAGAGGCGATGCACGACAGTCGTCTTTCAAAACATCARACATACCTTGTTGTAGCGAATCTAATGGATAAGTTAACAATATCCTTCATCAATGGACACATTTCTTTGAATTGCATTATGAACGAAGATGATCAAAACAAGTTTGCGGATTTCTTAGCATTAAGGAGATGCACCCCTCAAGGAATCAAAGTGTCTGAATCAGTGACAAACCTGCGATGTGAATGGGTTCAGATATTGAACGACCTCTTAACCGAAAGAAATAAGATCGAAACAGATTTCACAATGCTTGAAAGAGCAATACAGCTTGTTATCGAAACAACAGACGGACAACAATTGGGCTTAAAAGATGYGAGGCCTCTGTCAGAACAATACAACCGCCTCAAAAGAATGTTCAAGGACACTGAATTTGCTGACGTTCGTCAAGAAAATTACTGGGGCCCCTTAAAATCTATTCTGAATCCCGCACGTGTAACGCAYGAGCTTTACAACTCTATYATTTTCAAGAATTTTGCAAGGAATCGTTTAGAAGAACGTTTGCAAACAAACCAGAGGGAAACGACCGTTCTTCATTGTCAAGATGACATGCATGTTGTTAGTGTTGAAGAAATCCTTACGGGGTTGAAGGAAGGAGTAGAAGCGTTTAAGGGTATTATAAAAYGCATCAGTCAAGAAGACAGCAATGTAACATCTAAGGAACTGGACAARCTTTTAATAGATATAGAGGAACACAACATAAAGAAGGAGTTTGATAGTGTTTGCAAAATCCTGCGCCTTCCTAACCTATCAGTTACTGTCTTAAAGATGATTGAGGACTACTTGAGGTTTGACGTTGTGAAAAAGAACATCCAAGCAGCGATAGAGTGTTTGGGTGCTGTAGGATATGCTCCTATTTCAGACGAAGACAACTTTCTGGAGTCTCTGCACTCATTTATTAGCTGCAAAGAATCTGGAACTTTGAACAGTGTATCGGCATACATGAACGACCCCAAAATTGTGAAAATACACAATCAACTTTCTCAARACCTAGTTGAAACTTTGAGGGAGTTGTCACGTGCTAGAGAATTGATCGAATTTATCATCGAGACTGCCCAAGACAAAATGGAAGACTTAGTTGATGCCGTAGAAGAATATTCAGAACAACTTATTCAAGCAAGCACTGTGACTTACCTAATTGAYGTCCATCGCTTTTTCAGTGTGCTACTCTTAAATAAGCCTAAAGAACCTGAAATGTTCTTGGAAAACGTCTGTCGTGCGTATATTAACCTTACAGCAGACATTCCTTCTAGTCCACCGACGGGAGAGACACTTGCAAGAAGTAAAGTCAATATGGCAGCCAAGATAAAAATCGTCAGTTGTAAYGTTCATAGCTTAAGATGTCTTCACATGATGTTATCGAACAGACAAGAGGTGACCAAGAGTATCATTAAAAATGCTGTCAACATTGGAAGTTATCAAGTGTGGATAGCTGTAGATGGATCAGTTGATGTGCAGCTGACGTATGAAAGAGAAGACCAGAACAAAACTGAAGCAAAGTACAACATTGACGACTTGAATGATTTGAGAAGTCGTGCTCTTCTGTTAGTTAATGCAGAAAAGACACACAAGAATACTGTGGATGGCGAAAAGGCTAGTTTGGACTATCAAAAGGATCTGATGCTCTTCATTGATCAGGTAGATATCCTAACACAGATTGTTCGTGAATACAAAGCCCTAAAAAGTTCTGGAATACCCGATTATGACGAGTACTTTTGGAAGAACCTAAAGACCATAGATGAAATCAGACAAGAAGAAGCACGTGTCAACAAGGAAGGTAAAGAGTGGGATGATATGATACAAAGCATTCGGAAACAAAACTTTTTCCTGAACTACTTTCACACCAARCAGCTGTGGCTACTCAAATCCTTCTTTAACAGTCACATTAGGTCTACCAAAGAGGTGTCTGATGAAGTATTGGCTTTATTCCATTACATCGATGCTAGGATTACCAAAGATGACTTGCTAATTTTCCATTCAAAATATTTGAAACCAACGATGGTTGAGAATGAGCTATGTGCAATTGGAGAGACTCTTGAGATGATATTTAGATCTTATAACTATTGCGAAAATTCGCCGACTGTTGAATGTTCTACATATAACAAGATTGATGAAGTTGTAGAACCTTCTAGACTTTAYATCGATGTGCTAGAGTCCGGCAGTATTCAAACTGTCCACGTGATCATGGCGCTTTTTCGAAATACGTGTGGGTGTCTTCCAAAGTCTAGCCAGCTTCTGTTTTGTAGCCCGAGCACTTCATGGGATGAGATAGAGCTACTTCTTTTAAGGACATTTGAAGCTCACCGACATGGCTTTACAAGCAACCTTCACTGCATTGCTAATGTCGAATGTCTYCCAAACGACATTAAACTTAAACTAGTTGAAAAGCTAGAGGCTTTGGTAGGTAGCACYGATGCACCATACCTTTTAGCGATTGTTTGCAGAAGTGCTAATCAACACATCGTAGATCACTTTTCTGATTATGTCCATTACTACAGTGGGATGCCTGATGCAGAAATGAGGAAAACGTTACAGCATTATTGTCCAGATACCCTCCTTGTCACTGGAGATCTTCCAGGTTTAGGAAAATCAGAGGAAATTCATGCCCTCTCCATAGAGAAGGATAAAGAAATTGTGACATTTCCTATTAGTGGTCCATTTGTGCGTGGAAATCTTGTGAAAAGACTTTCAGAATTGAAACTCGAGCACTTCCAATCGATTCACTTTGATGTAGGGGAAGTTGACGACCCATCTGCTCTAGACACGTTTCTGTTTGAGCTCATTGTCACCAAAATGGTGTCGACAGGAGATTTGATTTTCAGTTTGGCCACTAGCCATGTTTACATCGAAATTGCGAATACATTTCAACAGATTATGAAAAATTCACTTCCAGTTTGCAAATGTTTCAATAGGATTGAAGTGGAGTGGAAAGACTATAGTAATCTCCTCGCTAGCAGTGAATTGACAAGTTGCATACAAGTTGTGTGTCACTATCTAAATGCCCTTGACAATGGAAACCTAGAACATGAGGAAGTTGTCTTGAGTGGACCAAAGAAAGCAGAACCCCTTAGCAATGACAAGTGCAAAGAACTTCTGAAAAAGCACTTTTCAGTTCCTGGTGCAGATTTGAATTTTAACATTCTTCGAAGCTTTCTATCAGTTTTAGCCAATCAACTTTTAAAGTTTTCAAGAAATCCGTATTTGAAGCCAAAAAACCTCAAAGATATGGCCCTTAAAAAACACCAACACATCCGAAGTGATGTATTCAATGCACTTCTTGAAGTGTCTACAACGTTTGCAGCGAGGCCGATCAATACCTGTAAAAAGTTTCAGGTTGAAGTTGTAGAAGCCTACGGTGGTTTTCAGACGATGAAAGGAGGAGGTAACATAACAGCTGAGAAAATGGTTGATCGAGTAAARGGAATGACCCAATGGGATGAGATTCGACATCTTATTATCATGCTTCACACCTCTGGCCCTATAACTACAATATATCGTAGCCCACACAATGTGCCGCAGAACGTGAAAGATCTGTTAGAGAGTCAAGATGTTTTCAAAAAAGGTCTTAAGGATTACTCTACGATGAGACAGGATGAACTTCAAGAAAGATTGGAAAGAATTGCAGATGCACCAGATCTAAATAAAGAGAAACTAGAGTCGCTAAAGTACGCACTTACACTTGACAATCTCCTTAAAATGGCCTTAATCATTCAACGGATACAAGCAGGCATTCCTGTTATCATTATGGGAGAAACTGGTTGCGGTAAAACGAGTCTCGTGCGATATCTTGCTCAGACGTGTTCCGTCCGGTTTGAAGTGTTCAGCTGCCATGCGGGCATAACAGAACGGCAAATCATCGACTTCATTTCTTCTCAAGACAAAGAAGCCAAAAMCCTGCTGGAACAAGAAAGAAAGTCGTTGTGGGTGTTTTTGGATGAAATCAACACTTGTGACTATTTAGGAACTATCAATGAAATAGTGTGCCATCGTTCCATTCAAGGTAGAGAATTGTCTTCAAACCTCATTTTTGTTGCTGCTTGCAATCCATATCGTCTCCGTCCACCAGGATGTATCATGACTGCCGGTCTAACCGGAAAGACGTCATTKGATGAGTTTTCTAAATTGGTTTATCGAGTCCATCCCTTGCCAGAAACGATGATTGACTATGTTTGGGATTATGGATCTCTGAGTCAAGAAGATGAAAGGACATACATTGGTCGTATGGTAGAGAGCCTTTTTGAAAACGCTGAGCACAACATGCTGGTGGATTTGTTGGCCACTTCACAACAGTTTATAAGAGATGAAGACAAGAATTCCTTCTGTGTGAGCCTTCGAGATGTACAAAGAGCAACAATTCTAATGGATTGGTTTTACACTGCWCTATCAAATCGCTCAAAGAATGTCATTCCCACAATGGATCGTCCTTTAGAATTGCAAAAGTTTTTCAGAACTTTTGAATTGTTTTCGAATACACTCAAAGCAATTGTGCTTTCTCTTGCTCACTGCTATCTCTCAAGGCTTCCAACWGCGAATTTACGACAAATGTACTGTTCTAAAATGACAGAGGTTTTAATCGCACACAAYAAAACTGAATTCAAAATAAACGAAGATGCATTTCAGCATATCGTCCGAGCTGAGCAGGAGGACTACTTATCAAGAATGGAACTTCCTGAAGGAACAGCAAAGAATGCTGCTCTCCGTGAAAACGTTTTTGTCACACTTGTCTGCATTCTGAATAGAATCCCAGTGTTCATCGTTGGAAAGCCAGGATGCAGCAAATCGCTTTCTATGCAAATCATTAGAAATAATCTACGTGGGAGGGACTCTAAAGATCCATATTTAAAGACTCTTCCAAAACTTGTGGTTGCGTCTTTCCAAGGGTCAGAATCTTCTACATCTGAGGGTATCGAAAAAGTGTTTGAGAAGGCAAGGAAGTTTAAATCTGAGGACGTACTACCTGTTGTGCTTCTAGATGAAATTGGACTAGCAGAAAATTCAAAGTTTAATCCTCTAAAAGTCCTTCACCATCTTCTTGAAACAGATCAAGGTAAATACCCAGATGTAGCCGTAGTGGGAATTTCAAACTGGGCCCTAGATGCTGCTAAGATGAATCGTGCGGTACATCTTTCTCGACCAGAACCCGATGACAATGACCTTTATGAGACTGGTCTTTCAATCAGTAACGTAAAAAGAATAGATGAAAATTCTAAGGCTCCTGAAATAAAATGCCTCGCAGAAGCATATAGTGAGTACCAAAAGAACCAGAAACCTGACAACTTTCATGGCCTTCGAGACTACTACTCAGTTGTGAAATGCTTTGACATTTCGCATCGGATGTCAGATGCTAGAAGCAAAAATATCCAACGTGCCATACAAAGAAACTTTGGTGGTACAACTGAAGGAAAGGGAGACCTTCAGTCAGCATTTTTAAAGAAACTCGAATCAGTTAAGCCCATTGGTGATGTTGAAGAATTTCATGTGATCGATTTGATCAAAGATAATTTGAACGACAGAATGGCTCGTCACTTGATGCTTATTACAAGTGGAGATTCAGCCATTGGAATTCTTGACCAAATCTTGAAAGATCTGAACAAGGAAGAKATCATAATTTTTGGAAGCCATTTTGAAGAAGATCTTTCGGCAGAYTACAGTCACCGTATTCTTAGCCGCATTATTCTTTGCATGGAGCACAATTGCATTCTCATCCTACGTGACCTAGAGAGAATCTATGGAAGTTTGTAYGATATGTTGAACCAAAACTATGTGCTAGTTGGCGGGAAAAAAATCTGCAGAATTGCCCTTGGAGCATTCAGCAACCCATTGTGTCAAGTAGATGAAGGTTTCAGGTGCATTGTACTTGTTGACGAGAACAAAGTTGACAACTGTGATCCTCCCTTCCTTAATCGCTTTGAAAAGCAGCTGTTGAGATTTTCAGATATCCTCAATGATAGACAAAGAAAACTGATCAATGATCTTGATAATTGGGTGATGAGCATATCATTTGTTGAGGCGAACGGAGATGCGTTTRATAAGTGTGACATGTTTGCTRGATTTCATGATGATACACTGCAATCGTTAGTACTTTTGCATAGTCAAGGTTCCAACAGAACAAACGAAGAAGTCTTACAAAGATGTAAAGATGATCTGATGTCGRTAGCAACGCCAGAAGCTGTAATTCGCATTTTCAGATCGAAACTCAACTCCATGAGCAAMGGAGAAGCCAAGAAGGTGTACGCAGACTATTTTACGAAGCCTATCAACGATGGTTTGAAAACATTCTTGGAGAATACAGTAAACCTCCAYGAAAAGAGTGGGMATGCCTCAAGAGGGATGAATCTTTTCGTCATGACACACAGTGGTATTCTMACCGATGTATCTCAATGCATTGGGGATCTTTTCGTGGTTCAGACCGAGAAACTGAGCTTCTTTAAGTCTGAAAAAGACCTCTCYAAACGAATAAAGCACTTCTTTTTGAAGTCCAAAGCCAATCTTCTGGTAGYCCAGTGCAGGCCAGAAACAGACGCTTGTAACATACTCTTGATGAAAAATATCATTGAAGAACGTCAGAAAGCTTTCATTAACTCTTGTGAAAGCCAYGGAAATCAGAAGCATGTTTGCATTGTGATGCACCTTCGTCGTTCAACACAGGAGGAAGAAGCTCGTAACCGCTGGCAGTTCAACTATTTAAGTGGTTGGACTCAAGTAATGATTGAYTGCCTTGAAAAACCTACCATCGAAATCAAGGAATTACTCAAATGCTCCATTGTTGATTTAGTTACAAATAAAACGGTTCCATTCAAGAAAGTAGCTGCTGATCAGTTACATTGGTGTTTTACACGAATAAAGTAYCCACTTTCAAAACAGCCGACTCTTGACGACATATCATCTTTGATAACAGCTATCACATCATGTRAAAAGATCATGGATTGCTTYATGACGTTGTGCTGCAGATGTATAGAGGATGAACAGGGTGATACCAATTTAAATTGGAAGATTGATGTTGCTTGCAAGCGACCATTATTGATTAACTCATCTACCTTTGTCAAAGCCATAGAGCATTTCATCATTCGCCTCATGAGACYTYYTCTAGCAARAATTGTCTATTTTCTGCAGAAGCATTCTGCTTTCCAAGCTTTGACTAGTGATGTACTTTCACGCCAAGAATGTTTGAAACTACTTTTAAATGAAAATATTTTCAATACCGCTGATGTTCCAGAGCCCCAAGAAGCAGAATCACTTGTTGTTGATTTCASTYRTGSAGAYCTTCRATTTCCGTTTTCACACCTCTTCTGCAAGAGAATYGACGGATTGTACGACTTCTTCTCTATGGAATACCGYCAACAATGCATGAAAGAAGAGAAYCTTGATGAAAAMGAAGAGCTCAGAGATGATTCCATAAAKRTTTTGGTGAAGAAGATGTCCTTTAAAGTCGAGCAAGTTGTCACAGAGATAATTGCCTCAGAAATCTTGTCACAAAAGATACCATTCTATGTAGATGATTTTCTTGCCATAAAGACTTATAGCATGTCAGACTCGTTGAATCGCAATCAAAGAATTGGAATTATGAAAGCACACTATGGAGCAACTCTGCCAAAAATCGCACACGCAGATGTGAATGATGTCATTGGTGTTGTTGCCCAGCTTCATTGCAATTTTTGGCTCGAAGGAAATGACATTCCCCAAGTCTTTCACTTCATCAAAGACTGCACGTCAACACGCTTTTTCTGCATAGATGATCTCCTAAGGCAATATCGGGATTTGAGCCCGCATGAAAAATCAAAAAGGGAAGGAAAAAATCCATTAGAAAGAGTTAGCGATGTACCAAATGAGGAGACTCATAATCACTTGCCTGGAAGATACGTTGATATCGTGAAAGAAGAATATGGTGATAAACGTGCAGAAGAAAATGATGACCAACCCCTACAGCCTGAAGAAAACGACGAAGGTTCTGAATTTCCAATACAAGAAACTCATGAAGTTTTCAGTGAAAGAGCAGAGTCACCTGAAAACATGGCCGATGAACAGATTTGTAAAGACAGCAGAGGTGGTAATTTTGACTACGAAAGTGAGTCTTTAGAGTATGACCAGCGCGATGTTGAGGAAGAACAAGAGGAAAAAACAAAACCTCACTTTGAAGAGTTCTTGGTCCAAGAAGTTTGCTCTTCCTTTTTACCAACACAAACTTTCGTTCATGAAAATGGGGGAGTTAGCGAATGGAAAAATGTCGTGAACCTGGTCTTATCTTCTGCCACAGAATATTGCCCTCYTTTACCAGCATATTACTACCTAAAGTTCTGCAATGATTTTGCCTGTAGWTTCGATCAGCCAGATTCACTCTATTCTTTGGGTGAGCTTGGAAGGAAAGTTACAGATGGGACCTTTCTAGGTTCCCCAGCGATGATGGTCGCAGTCTGTAATCTACTCGAAGATCTTAGGGTAAAAGGTCGAGATAACAAACAGCTGGACGAGTTTCTCTTCCTGTTCTATGAGAGGTGTATACAATCCAATCCAGACTCAGAAATGAACATAAGAATATTAAACCAAGTCTCTTTCAGTGAAAACGATCACATGCTCCCTCTTGCAAGTTCACTTTTAAATAAAATGCTCGTTAGTGCTCAAGACCAAATGGCGTTTTCCCTGGAAACTTTGGAGCACTTGATAGCCTCCACGAAGTTGGATGATTTTCCAAATCTAATGGCGTTAAACTCCATTCTTTCCAGACTGCAAGAGAATGAAAAAGAACTGGACAGTCACATTAACGTAGTCTGCTGTGATTTGATCACCAGAATTGGCTTTAAAGATCTTGATGTCAAAAAGCTATCCAGAGCCAGTTCTTCCAAAGTACAAATGAAAGTGTTCCACAAAGCCGTGGATGTTTTGACAGAAGCTGATCAGAACTGCAAGAGCAACCTCTTTGGATTCATTTGCGCTGTTTCGTATTTGCGAGCATTCATGTCTGATTTGGCAAGATTACTCAGTGAAACACRAAGCACTGCTTCATTGGACCCGCTTCTCCGAGCCTTAACCACGCGTTTAAAKGAAAGTGAACCACTAACAAGAAAATCAGCTGTCTCCGARTATCTTCTCAAGGAACTTGGACAGCTTATGTGCCTGCATGATGTCMAACAACTGATCCAAAATTGCAAGCATCTCCACRTTTTAAAGTCTCTTGGGTGGAAAGATWCAGATTYCTCTGATCATAAGCTGCGGTGCAATCTTTTCAAACGTCAGACAGCCGCTTCCAAATTGGTGCCAGCACTAAGTTCATACATGGAATGTARAMATCCTAAAGAATYTGAAARGATCAGTGAATTTCTCAAGGACTCATTCCACGAAAGGCTACAGCTTGCTRCCRTAATGATGGAGCGGTTTTATATGGTGCGTTCTCTTCATGAGCTRAATGCTAMRGAGAAAGAAGWGGCRCATTCCATAACAACTATTTTGTCCCAAGWGGCGATTCCAAACCACACTTACAATAATTTCATTTCTCGTATTTCTGGYCAARATAGMTTCAMGWGTAAACACTTGGAAATCTCTCAACAGACAAGAACAATYGATGTGCAAGTKGCAGTACTCATTCAGCATTTGTCTGCAATTCTGACGTCARGTGTTAYTTCAAAAYGTAMAAATCMAGTCATSGGTTGTYTGATCAATMCCGCAGAGCTTAAAACGTCATACATGGTATCATCGCCYGACAGCGAAACTGGATATCCATTRTATAAAAAYTATAAGCACACAATTCCACCTTACATCCAAYTAGTTTCATGCAAGTGTGGAACTCGCTTTGYTGGTCAGTTGTCTGCTARCATAAAATGCCCTTGCTGYAATTCTCCTTGTCAAGAAGACGAGAGAGATGAACAGGAAGAGCAGGAAAAGCCACAAGCAATTCAAGGATACATTAAATTAAATTTGAAGTCTTTGAMWTGYGACATGCTCCACACCCGGAACCTCGACCCTGTACCATTYCGACTTCTACACTTAATTATGCATRCTGCYCTKCTAGCTGGYCTTTCCATAGATGTAGTSCCGGCTGATGAMMTGAGTGATGTTATGAAAGATGATAACCCATCCGAGACCTGCTACAAGGTTATTCAAGTGGATCTAGAYGTCCTATGCCGTCTGCTCTGCAGTAAGAAAGAGAATATTATCACTCTTGTRCATCACGTCATCGAAGAGGATTCTGTGTTGAAATTGTTGACAGAAGACAGTATCCACCCACTACCGCATAAYGAACAAGTGCGGTCATCTTGGGAGACTGACTTTGCTGAGAAAGCACAACCAGTTATTCAAAGATTCATCGAAGGTCACGTGGTTCATGATGYCGAGGAAAATGACAATGCAACCCTGGCAGCATTGGYTTATGAACGTCACTTGCCAAAGTTTGAAGATATCACGTCAAGAAATCAGTCTATCCCTAGACTGTTTCGAGTCACACAGCCAAACAGTTTTCACAAATTACGGGAAGTCTACTTGAATAGTCCAAAAGAAGTGAAAGAGAAATATCAACTCCTTGGRTTGTTTTTGGACTACCACGACAAATTGCATTTTATTGGTAACCTCGCCGCTCTTCTATCATGGAGTCGTTATGTTGAGATCCTTCTTAGCAGAGGATTGACTCGATCAGATGCCCAAAAAAGATACATCAATGATACAGTTCTTGGAAAAGAAGGAGAGGGCTTTCAATCTACAAGTGGAGATTTGACTAAACACGAAGAATGTGAGGAGTTCATAAACGCATGGAGAAATGTGGTCCCTTTAATGAACGAACTGAATATTCAACACAGCGATGAGATGCCGTACATTTCCAAACAAAGCCCTATCGGTTACTGCTTAGCAGAGAAGCAAGACTTGGGTCGATTTTTGTGCAGATGCTTCGTCAGTCTCGCAGAAATGCAGAATGACTTCCTTGATAAATGCCTTGCTATTGCATCAAATGGAAAATGTTCAGCTCTTCACTTCCYCTCRAAAAGTGGTTCAGTTCCCAGCATTCCAGTCATACATGTTCAAAATGCCAAGAAAAAGGAGATCATTTGCTACGAGTGGACAGACGGCTTTCTTGATTCTTCATACTGTGAAACGGAATATGGCCAAGGAAAGGTTATACAATATGAWATGGAAAAGGTCGAAAAAGAACTGGCAGGCTACTTTCTACTTGGAAAAGCCTATTTGGACACCACAAGTGGTATTCGCGAGTTTGCTTTCTCCAAGCAGCTCTTCCATGACTGTGCAAATATACTCAATGAATTGTGYGAGTCCATACCACAAGATGAACTTCCGCCCAGTGTGAAGGCAGAGTTAGCAAACCAAAGCATGTATCGAATCCAAACWCTCTTAGAAGATTTGGAATTGGTGTTGTGTTATTTAAGGCGAATGGAAGTCAAGCCTAATCATAGCTTTGTAGAGTACATCGACATCTTAGTGTCATCTTCAAGACCATTTCCCAAAGACCTTCGAACTACTCTGAATACAATTCAAATAAAGCATGTTTGTGCTCTGTATGAGTTCGTGGAGGACCAACTTGCAGTTCCATCCGTTGAATGCTGTGGAGAAGAGTACCGTGACAAAATAAGAGATGAAACYCTCAATGAGTTGAGGGTGAGCGTACAAGATGTTCACAGAGATGTACTTAAGGCAGCCAATACAGTCATCACRAGATTTGCATTCAGATATCTGCACATGAAACCCAACCAATGTAAATGTCTTCTTGAGTTCATGAAAGATCCTTCCCTTTGGCCGATGGCTTTRAGAGTGCAAAGGGATGACATCGATTTCAAAGTATCAGAAGTTGCCCCCAAGTTCTTTCCTGAAGAGATAACGATTGGTCAGACATATGAAKTGCACAGATTCTACAAAGAGGTATGACTTTGAATTGATAGATATTGTCCTTTGTAATTATCCACAGAGGAAATCAGCCCGTTATTAACTATTGCAATAGTGCTGCTCTGCGACCGTTCTATCATGCCAATCATTCTGTATTACTATATACGTAGATGATTGAAAAAATGTTGTTGGATCGCAAAACGCTGAAATTCTCAGAAAGGTTTTCGAATCATAATTGCCTAAACATGTTAAACTGTGGAATTACTCCCAGAGGAGGCTATTTCATTCACTGCAGGCAATCTTTCGGCACTGAAAACATGTTATATATACTTATTATTTACTATTTATTTTCCCATGCCCCTCTCGGTCCTGGCTTTGATGATGGAACCTTTTTGAACCCGACTGCAGTTTTTCAATTTGGTGTATCTTCTGCCATCTTAAACCAAACGTCGAATTTATTGTCTAATTGTGACCAAATTTTACAGCTCAATCAAAGCCCTTCAAAATCAAGACATAGTGGAGTGCGCCCCAGAACAGCCGTAGCGAGAGGTAGAAAAGKCCGTAAATCGTTTACGTGAATTCTGGTGACATCAGACATCGTTACTTATATATACCCTATATGTCTATAAACAAGCTAGTTCACTTGTAAACACAGTTTGACAATTCGTCAATTACGACAGAAGCTTTCAAGTACACAGTTTGATATTAACATTTTAAAACGATGATTATAAAAAGCTGGATTATCATGTCTATAATAGGAAACTCATYAGGGTCTGGAAACGTTTAGACACTGTACTATTTTTCAGAACAGTCAGAAATAATTAGGATTTTCTTATATCATATTTGGTAGTAAAAGCTAATTCAAAATAGCCACTGGCGCCAAAAATATTAATATTACTAGGGTTTATTCTAGGGTTTTGAGAGAATATCTTTACATTGCATGCATAATGTCTTTTAAAAAGTTTTTTCTAAGTTCCTGTAGAAAGTTAAATAAATCATTTAAACCGATAAATGCAASCTTTAAGRTTATGTACAACCAGGCMATGCAAGAGAAATTTGTGYCGTGTATATGATCAMGTGAGATCATAAAAGGTTTACTACCCTACCCATAACGTTTCAACGTTCCAGTGGATTACTACAACTGCTTCAAATTAGTTTCTGAATTGTGTACGTCTGTAGTTTTTCTTGTTTTTAGATTTTCTTGTGCTTGTTAATTGTTTTGCTTCTTCTCCCTTTAGTGTTTTTGTAGGTCTCTGCTGTTTACTCTTGCTTGCTCAATTGTTATTTACATGAGGCTTAAAACTGTTGGGAAATGTTTCCATAAATTCCTAATTTATACCATTCCTTTGTGGATTGTGTATTTCTTTATCAGCTTTCAAGTCGATGTTTTTGCTTGGTAGTGGAGGTGGTGGACTCTCTAACATTTTGCTGATGTATATCTCTGTGTTGTTTTGTTCACTTGAAATGTTCCTTTGCTGGTTCTGTTTGGTGTGCTTCTTTGTTTTCTGGCCTAAAGTGAGTCACTTTGTTTCCTTTCTTGAAACTGTCAGTTTTGTAGAAACATAAAGTGTCGTTAGATGACATGAATTCTGTTTAGATAATGCCTGTATTTTCTATGAMTTTTGACAAGTTGCTGCAATAAACATCTTTATCTTTGAAACTTGGTTCAATATTGTATCCWTGTAGAATAGGCCTTCCTCCATGTTTACTTATGTCTTGTATTTCTGTAAAAGGCTAGGTTATTGCAATATCTAGTTCAACTGTGTCTGTCAACTCCTGYTGGGTTTTGGCACCAAAATGTTGTGATATTAATGTAACATCACATGTCCTGGTTCACTTGATGGTTTATTGAATCCCATTCTCATTGGAACTAATTACATTATGACATAATCATCATCATCCTCATTATTACAGATAGTTGATAAAAGCACCTCAGTTAAATCAAACTATTCAAGCAGTGATCAATTGAGTAGTATTTTAATTGTTAAATTTACAAGAATAGAAATTGCACTTGCTGCATGAGACTTTTGGGTTAAAAACAATGTTACCATRTACAATGACATAGTCCTGACCGTCGAACACTTCACTTGATTTAGTAGCGCTTTCGTTTCAATATTTCTGGTTTCCAGTTGATTGGATGTGTTTCTTCACTCTGTAAATTCAAACATGTATTATCAAACCGTTAATAATTCATTAGGTGAACTCAATATGAGGAAAAGGTTTGTCCTGATTTGCATATGGCTCTAACTAGGATTTTCTTTAAATTTTATCTCCAAGATATAATATGAAAAGGTGACCTTTATGGGCTTAAAAAGCTCGCCTGTGGACTGCAGTGTTATTTGTTTTATAGAAATATAAAAGGACGCACGTGTCTCTGTCCTCTGATATAAACACGGCGGGAGTTCAAAAAACACGAGAGAAGCCAGCCAATCAAAGCGCGCGTTATATATCGAAAATTTTATAAATGTCCATAAAGCTCTCCTGCTAATTTTTAATTACTTATAAGTTACTTCAAATTCAACTGAAAGTCATTGATCATTCACAAGGTAAGTACCCAGAACATTACTAATACATGCACTATGAATCCAATGCTAAAGATAAAGCAACTAGAGAGTGGTACTGTCTCAAAAWGATAAAAATATTGACTTACAGCTTGGTCATCTTCTTTGTAGATTTTGATTGTTTTRTCTGCTTCACAGGTGATAAGTCGACTACTACTTTGATCAAATGTCATGGCAAAGATACCAGCTTCACTGTCTAGTGAGCCTGGTTGAGCTGTAGCTTGAAGTCTTTGGAAATTATACCCTGTCTTCCAATCCCAGAAATGCATTGTCCCATTATCACCTGAACAGAKGRGAAAGAARCTYGAGTAAMGTTAAAMAGTCAGAAAAAAAGKATCCATCAACAAATTAGATCAWYGTGTTCCCCTTTCAATATATGTTACTGCGGCCATTTTTGGAATTGTACAAAAGAATCACTCATCATTGSCTTTTACTCAGTCAAAAATCATGATTTTTGACAGTCTGTCTTTATGATTGATTGACAACCAGCATWAGTCAATTTACRGTGATATTTTCTGTGTCACTAATAYCAAATACCTGTTATTCCTCCAAAAAAGATTATGTTTCTTACAATTACTTAGGCCTTTTCTGTAAACCGTTTCAGTATTTTTTATTTTCTMATTTTTTMCAGTTTTTGTTATTCTTWRATGTATGTCATTCTATTCAGGTCAAAATGATCCTAAACTACATTATGGTAGCCACACTATACATTGATAATAAAATACATTAATTACCTCCAGATACTAAAACATTATCAGAGTTGACAGCGAGGCAGTTAATGATGGTGTTATGTCCTTGGAGATTATGCAAGAAGTTGCCATCAGGGAATTTCCACATTTTGATATTATCTGGTGATGCACTTGCAAATGTAAAACTATAAAACAAAGGTTAAGATCAAATGTTTTTCCTATAGTGTCCAGTGTCATTTTCATGCGTTAATTACCAATTCTCTTTTTAAAAGTCATAAAATAAATTCACAAATACTGCAGCATGGCATGACCCTACACGTAGTTGATTAACAAAGGACTTTGTAGCATGCAATCCAACTGAAGAGGTTTCCGTGTAAAAAAAAATGAACTGCCAAATTAGGCACAACAACCCTTCTACACTGTAGTATAGTGTCAAATTGTTTCGGCTTTTATTCTCTTTTTAAGAAGTCGAAGACAAACATTGAAACGAGCGACAGAAGATTACCCCTGGGTTCCCGAGGATGGCTGAAATTTGGCGAGGATGTAGGAAAATTATTATCCTGCAGCATACCAAAAGCTTGATTTTGTAGGACCAGCATAAGGTGGAAAAATTCGGCGTTGAAGTTGACCAGTTGGCCGGCCGAGAGCGATCGGCTGCCAGCCTTTAACCCTTTTCTCTTCACTCTAGAGAAGGTCGAAATCTAACCCTCCCAAAACACACTAAAACAGCATCAAAATCGAAAATAACCCCTCCAAAAATGTTCATAAACTATTGAACCATCTTTATTGAAGTTTTTTGATATTTCAAGAATGAAAAGATACGGTTTAGAAACGATATTTTGACTACATGTGAAAATCCGTTAAGTTTGTCGCCACAGGTAGCCCATCTCCCGTAACTCCTCAGAGACTGGTAAGCCTGTG